AGTGCCTGTATTGGAGGATTTCCTTGTTGCTTATAAGTTAACTCCAAACACATGGTCCTGACAACCTCGTTGCCAGAAAGTCTGCTGTCCTATCGCAATAACATCGTGATGTAGCTCGTGCACAAGTGAGGTGCGTGACCCCAGGCTCCTCACTTACCTGCTTTGGAACCAAGTTGCAGCTTCTCCTAGAGACAGATGGCAGGGAAGGAAAGTTCTGGAGCCAGGGACAGGACAGGAATTCCAGGGGGAAATATAATCTAAGCAAAAGACACATTATTTTGAAAAGGAAATTTTTCTCATTACCTTGGTTCGCTGTTTGCCCATCAGTTGAGGGGTTTGCTTGATGTGGTAAATTTCTAGAGGTCTAGAGAAAGGTCACAGATACCTCCGGTCATGCTTCCGAAAGTTTATCCAGCCAGTTTAACCCACCTGCTTTATGGGCAGTGTCCTTCTCCTCATTGTGAGTGATGCAGTTTATAGTCATTGCCCTCCTCTTTATTTTGGCAATATGAAAAGTGAAAGTTAATGTTTTAAAATGGGAATTTGATTCTTATACATATAATTATGGTTTCTTTAATAAATCCTGGCTGGAAAACCCTGATACTCTTTCTGGTCCTTGTCCCTATTCTTTTTTTGGATTTTCTCTTAATTGATAATGGTTTGTTGTTATTGTTGTTGTTGCTTACTTAGAGTCCTTGTTGTGATATTGTTTTTTTGTTTCATAGTTGTTAAGCATTTGTCTGTCACATATTCTAGAATTTTTTCCCAGTCTCTAATTTCCTTCCATTTCTTCATTGACAAATTTTCCTTTAAAGCTTCTGCAATTCATGCCTAGAAAAGGCCTCACCCCCTAGGTTCACCAAAGTTTTATGTCCTCTATTAATTTCATAGTTTTAATTTTGTAAGAGTGCTTGATAGGAGTTTTATTTATTACATAAAACAGAGATTTACGTGTCATTTCAATGTCTGTCTGGTTATTCCAAAAGTCTTCCTCTTATTTGAAATCCCTTCTTACTAATTCTTAAAACTCCTACTAGTTACTTTTAATCTGGAATTTCAGATTTTCTTGTGTGTCTGGAAAAGCTGATTAAAATAAAGCACAAACATTGAAGGGGCCCCAGTGTCCCTGTTCTGCTGGGTGCTATGCATCCTGCCCCTGGCCCTGCATTCCTTTCAAGCCTTCCAAGCCCTGCTTGGTTTTATGCATGCTTTGTCAGCTCAGCACCTCACACTGTGTTCTCTCTCTCTCTCTCTCTCTCTCTCTCTCTCTCTTCCTCCACCATCCCCCACTGGCCCTAAAAGTCTCTTCTCTGTTCCCTGGCTCCTCTGCCCATCTTCACCCCCTGCTGCCCTCCCTCTTCCACGTGCCCTTGCACTTGCACGTGGCACACAGTACTAGAGCTGTCTGTTGGAGTCCTTTCCCCTTGGGGACTGGATGATTTTTGTAGCCAGGAATCATGTCTTACTCATCTTAGAATTGTCATCATCTAGTGCAGAGCCAGCATATAGACAATTTACTCAGTGATATCTGTTGACTGAAGGAGAGAGGGAGAGAGGGAAGGAGGGAAGGAGGGAGAGAGAGAAGGAGGGAGAGAGGAAAGGAGGGAGGGAGGGAGGGGAAAAAAGCTTGCTGCCCTTCTGAAAACGTCAGCCTTGCTGTGAAGCCCAGCACATGCCCCACAGCACAGCTCAAACCCCACATCTGGTAACTCTTCTCTTTGCAAAGGAGAGGTTGTCATAACGTATCCATTCAGGTGTGAGACATGTTCTGCCTGGATTTCCTGGAGAGACAGTGACAGATTGCTCAGTGACCACAAATCTACAGTAACGAATGTGTCTTTGTCTTAGCCTGAAGCCTCAGAGATGTTGCATTGCAAGGTAGCACTGGGAAGAAAGAGGATGGAGGGAAAGAGTTTGGAATTTGAGGGTAAGAGTTACAACCTAAGCAAGACACAGAAAGTGGGTAGAACAAACTCAAATAAGTGCTGGGAAATGCTGGATGTTCAGTCTTCTGCTTTCTTTTCAGAAGGTAAGTACTCGTCAACAGCTTCCCCTATGTTACCTCCCAAAGCATTATGGGGCTGCCTTGACTTCAGCTGCTGACACTTCAGGTTTTTATTTGCACTCAAGTGGCACAGCCTCATGAAAATTCAGCGCATAGCTCTGACATTCCTACCAGCTACAGTTCCTACCGCCCAGCAGCGGCCTGGTGTGCGCCTGCTTCATATTCATGGCACTGAAGATTTCCCCGTGACAGTCACTGTGGGTGTTCTTATGTCTTTCACGTTCTGGCAACCAAAGTTGGGGCCCTTCCAGAATAGGTCTCCCACAGGGTATTTTCACAGATGGAGGTGGATGGAACACTATGGCACAGAGAACCATGTACCCCGTGATTCCAGCGGGGGAGCAACCGTGCAGAGATGTTTCTTGAGCCTGGTCCAACCTGATGGAGGAAAACCACAAAGCAAAATTCATGGTATCTTTCTGGTTTTCACGACTCTGTGTTAGTAGACCGTGTACAAATCCATTTTTTACGAATCAGAGGGGAAGCTGAGGTTAAGTAGAATTTGGAAGCTTAAAGTCCAGAAAAAAGAGAACTCACCAGCAAAGTGATAGAAACAGATAGAGATGTACCTCGCCTTTTCAATCAGAGGATCAGAACCCTAGTGTGTCTGACATAAGCATTGGAAGAAGTGTGTGTGTGCGTGTGTGCCTGTCTGTCTGTAGGCTTCCAATATTTTGACTTGCTTTGTGGTCTGGTGACAGAATGTAAGTCTAGATCACGTGTCCATTTTACCATTTGACACATGGGCAGAACTCTAAGTGGCATTGATATACCTGAATCCATTAAACAAACATGCTTTTGGTTTCAAGAACTAAATCAATGTGTCAGTGTCCTCCTACGCTGGAAGGGAAAATGCTGTTATTTAGCTAAGGTAATGGTATAAATTCAAACTGCTTGGGGATCATATCTATTTATTTTATTATTCCTTACAGTTAAGTCACAATACTGACTTGAGCTTTTCAAAGCAACTGAGTCTGGAGAGATGGCTCAGCAGTTCAGGGCACGAGCTGCTTTTTGCAGAGAAACCAGGCGCGCTTCCTAGCGTCCGTCTGATGGCTCACAACCATGTGGAACTCCAGTTCCCTTTTCCGGCTTCCGTGGGCTCCAAGGAAGAAAGTCATGCAGGTTCATATGCCTACACATAAATTAAAAAAAAAAAACTTTAAAAAAAGAATAAATGAGATTTGTAAGGGTTGGATAAAGTAGTTAAGAGTTGTTAGTTTAAGGAATAGTAGTTCTGAGCTTCGAACCATAATATATCTGTCAGTAATCACTCATCTGCTGAAAGACCGGTTTCCCCAGAGTGAACTGCAGGTATCAACAAATCTGGCGGTGAATCTAGCCTTTCAAAACATGTCCCTTGGCTTAGAATACACCAGGTCTTCCGACACCTTGTACAGCAGTCCTTCAACACCCTGGCTGTACAGGCGTTCTGGAAGTTAGCAGTGTTGGGTCTTGAACTTGTGAATGCCATTAGAAGTTGTTAAGCCAGTCTCAGCCTCATTAGACTTTTCATGGTAAGTAGAAGTCACTACCCTGAGGGGAAGAAGCAATTCAGATGCATGCCAATAATGGACACTTAAAACTTTGTTAAATTATCCCCTCTCCTCTGGATGCTTCAGAGGACAAGCGGCCTTTTATGAAGAACTATCTGCCCATTCCTCAAAACTCCCAAAAATCTTAGCTTGGAGCTTACTTGCTCTGTAGGAGCCACTATGAGGTGGGTATTAGTATTTAATTTTTGACCCTGATCCAATACCTGGAAACCAAAGCTAATATCTTACTTGACAGGAATCTTGAGAGCTGCAGGGCACGGGCTCAGAATTCATCCCATCCCACTGGATTTAGACCTTCATTCCCAGGCTAGCATGAGGCCGTATTTATCAGAGTGCCTTCTCCCTCTTACCAGGCTTATCATCACCCTGATGGGGCTTCACTGGTTTCTTTTTCAAGGCTAAAGCTAATTGATATTAATTCATGTTTGACCTCTGAATCATCATTATCAACTTATAACTCCAAACAATACAGATAATCTACTGTGAAGTCACAAAATTAATGATATAAATTATGTTTAATTAGCTGAAGTCATAGAAGGATAAAAACACGGATATAGGTTGCCCAAGCAAACAATTACAATTTTATTGATTTTTCCCCAGGTTTTATGTTGAACCTAAAATGCATTCCATTCCATCCTTAGACTCCCTGGAGAAGTGTGTTCAGTGGAGTTCTGCTCACAGGCAAGCTAGAAAAGCAGATGGTACCTTAAGGAACTCTTTCTTTAAAATGCTGCCTTTTTCCAGATTATCTTAATTTGTAACACGATTTTGGAATTCTACGCTACAGTTAACAATGTAACTTTGCCTGCTAAGGAAGTCCCACTCCTTTGGGGACATCACCTCTGGTAGGCTGCCCAAATTCCAATGAATGTCCCCACACCCACAAGTACACAAACAGCACTAATTGGACTGAGAGGATAATTACTTTTAACAAAGAGGGCATGAAGCTGAGAGGGAGGGATGAGGGGAGATAGGGTGCTAGAGACTTGGGGTACAAGTCACTGATAGAGCAATCTGTCTAACATGTGTGAGGCCCTGGATTTGAACCATCACCACAAACAGAAAAACAGGGGAAGATACAGCCTTTTAAGTCCAAATCCATGCTTTTGTTATATATACTACTTTTAAATATGTAACCTTAGTTAAGTCGCTCATCTGTGCCTCAATTTTCCCGCCCATAACATAGGGCCAATATTAGTGCTTCTTTGCAATGTCCCAGAGGAGATGGATTGGAGGGTATCACAAGTAGCCAGCAAGTACATCTGTCACCTGTTCGAGGCTATCGTCAGTCCCTGTGGATGTTTTTAGATGTGCATAAGATCGTGTTGCAATGGAAATCATATACTCTCGGTTCAATTCTCTTCCCTCCTTTCCAATAGGAAAATGGCAAATGCTGGACGGTGGCCTCCTGAACATCACCAAGGTGTCTTTCTCAGACAGAGGCAAATACACGTGCATGGCGTCTAATGTCTACGGTACTGTAAACAACACGGTGACCCTGCGAGTCATCTTTACCTCTGGAGACATGGGTGTGTACTACATGGTCGTGTGCCTCGTGGCCTTCACCATCGTCATGATCCTCAACATTACCCGCCTGTGTATGATGAGCAGTCACCTGAAGAAGACTGAGAAAGCCATCAATGAATTCTTTAGGACAGAGGGTGCGGAGAAGCTGCAGAAGGCATTTGAGATTGCTAAGCGCATCCCCATCATTACCTCAGCCAAAACTCTAGAGCTCGCCAAAGTAACTCAGTTCAAAACCATGGAATTTGCCCGGTACATAGAAGAGCTTGCCAGGAGCGTGCCCCTGCCTCCCCTCATCATGAACTGCAGGACTATCATGGAGGAGATCATGGAAGTGGTTGGGCTAGAGGAGCAGGGGCAGAATTTTGTGAGGCATACCCCAGAAGGCCAAGAAGCCACAGATAGGGATGAGGTATATACAATCCCCAACTCTCTGAAGCGAAGCGACTCCCCCACCACCGACTCGGATGCCTCGTCGCTGCATGAACAGCCTCAGCAGATTGCCATCAAGGTTTCAGTTCACCCCCAGTCCAAAAAGGATCACGTGGATGACCAAGAGGGCGAACAGTTTGAGGTCAAAGATGAAGAGGAGACAGAACCATCAGAGGAACACTCCCCAGAGACTGCAGAGCCTTCTACAGACATAACGACCACAGAGCTGACATCAGAAGAGGCCTCGCCGGTAGAGGCACCAGATCAAGGACTGCCACCAGCACACTTAGAAACGACAGAGCCAGCAGTGACATGTGACAAAAACATCTGCATTATCTATGAAAGCCATGTCTAATCTTAACTTCGAAAAGCTATGCATATCAAGAAAATCAGGGGCTGCTCCTTGTAATACAAATGTAGTACGCACTTGCCGCTAAGCCTTACCAGGAGACGCTCATCCCTTAGGTTGGAGTTATGCCCCATGAGAGGGACGACACCTGCGCGGAGCTCGTTTGACTAGAATCACCCCAGTAGGACAGGATGTGAGAAGTGCTGGGGTACGGAGCTGATAAGATGGGGCAGAGGTCTGTACCATGTGATCTGATCTGTATAGAGGCCATGCTCTGCCAAATCCCTTCGTTGGTGGTGCCCTTTTGGCCAGGAGTACGCTATTACTGTAAGATGTTCTGAGTTCAGGAGGCCTGTCTAATGCATACTGCATTGCTTTTCCTTTGAAAATTCTAGGTCTGCTGCAGTAGCAAATGCTCATACATGGGCTCATTGCACTTTCTTCTCAGTTTAAATTATCTTCACAGTTCTTTTATAATGGAGTAGTTGTTATTATATTAATATTAATTGCTCTTTCTGCTGGAGTCTTCTGTGTCACCTTTGTTCTTATTTTTCCTTAGTATGTTTACCTCAGAGTCTTGGGTGTCAGCCACTGACATGACTGACATCTGTAAGTCATTTGTAATACTCTGAAGTAGTTCTTGTTCTTGTTCTTTAATTTTCTCTTTAGAAAAATAGTAACAACTTCACATCTATCTCATATACTTTTTGTTTTCAATGAAGCTGCTATTGTGAAACTGAGAAAAACTTTGCCCCCAAGTAGCACTTTAACAGTCAAATAAGAACGTTTACCTGCCCAGTTCTGAGAGCATTCAGATAAGCTCTGCTGAGGTGTGGAGCAAGATTGCAAATGCTTACATATCCCCATAGCACTCATGAAATTGGTTTACCTGCAAGTGTCAGCACCCTCCAACCTGGGAAACGTGCTGCTTCCAAAAATAGGCCTTTGGAGAATTCCTGTAGGTACGGCATGTCAGCTTCCCAGAAGGCCTTGCAGGGCCTATAAGATGTTGTCAGCTCAGCAGCAGCAGATGTGTGTGGGGCAGGAACTGGCCCACTAGCGGCTCTGTCATGAGCATAAGCAGGTCCCCTTCAGACTGAATACGTGACTTGTTGGTCATGCAAAAGGAGCTAGCAAGCTGAGTGAGGATGATGGCATAGATGATTTTATCCTGGAGTGACTGAATTTTTTTGCCCCCCTAGAATGCAGTATGTGTAAGGTAGCTTGATATTCGAGAAGAACGACAAACCAGCCATCCAGGGATTTAATACTTGACTGTGCCAATAACTAGCTGCCAGGCAAGTAACTAGCTGCTTTTGGCAAATCTGGGCCTCAGTTTTCCTTTCTGTAAGAGAGGGCAAACCGGACTGAACTCTGAGCACCTTTTTTTTTTCTCTCCAATAGCATCACATTCAGAGAAAGAACACAGTATTTTTTAAAAATGCATTTTTTCATGATTGTTTTGAGAATTTTTGCTTTCATCTCTGAGTTACCAAGCCATTTTAATGCTGTTACTTGCTCAAATGCAAGGGATCGTGGTGTTTTCAACAATATCTAGAATTTTTTCCCTCCGAAAATGAATTATGAGGCTCACTTCTACAATTTAGATTTAATCTCTGAAAGAAGGGCAAGTGCTGTTATTTTATTTTCAAATACAAACAAGGGAGACTGAAACTTAAAAAAGAAAAAGGTGTGGGGGGGGATCAGAGTTAGGCCACATAGTGTGGTGAGTGTGATGAGGGTTTTGATCTTTTTTATTTGAATGGGACTAGAATATGCACGTAATTATCTAGATGACCCCTGAAGCTCCCTCAGAATTTCACAAAAGTCTTCAAACTCTAATAACCCTTCTAAGTCAATGGGAACAAAAGTAGGCCCGTGCGGTGAGGTGCGTGTGTGATATGACCTTACAGGAGAGTATCTGTAATTGAGGGTAGTAGAATTGTGCGCAGAAGTGATTGGGACAGAGTTATAGACAATCCATGTGGAAAACAATCTGACAAGACTTGGAGTTTGATCACATTTCCCTTTAAGAGGAATTTATTAGCACCTAATTGAAATGTCTTATGAGTCTCTTAAAAAACAAAACAAAACAAAACAAAAACCTGTAGCCTGCAGCCATAAGAAGCCATGACTTCTTTGGTAGTTCTCTGGATGGGGAATATATACAGTCACATTGAAGAAAAGTCTCTTAGAATATGCCAAGTCCATGATTTTCATGAAGATTGACAAATGCTACGTAGACTCTATTATATTCAGCTCTCATTCCATCCAAACCCATGTACGGAATTCCTCATGGAAACTGCAGGGCAAGGTATCCATACCATATAGATACCGATTTAGAATAATAAGCTAAAGGAGGCAGATTTTCTATGAAACAAGAGCTGATATATATGACCAAAGAATGTATCCAGGCTGATCCTGATTCTTTAGACTGCAGTAGGATAGAGAGTGAGAGGATGATTTTCAAACCGCTCTCTTTATGGCATCAGATGTTGTTAGTGTAAGAATCTCCCACCTTAAAGGGATCTTTGCTTCATATGGAATTTCTCCATCAGAAATTCTACGCTCTTGCTACCCTCCAGGGAGCCTTCCAAAATGAGAACAGCCTTTTACTAGAATTTATGAAATGTGAAAGACCTTGTAACACTCAGTCAATAGTTTCCCAAAAAAGTAAACCATCCAAGTTCTTAGAATTACAAACGGAGTCCCACTGAACCCACAGACACACACTTGTGTGCACAATGGACTCATCTGGGCAGTTTTTAAAGTTCCACACTCAATCCCAACCTTTGGATGGATCTTCTATACTCATTCTTTAAAAAAAAAAAAAAAAGAAATCAAACAATTTCTGGTTTCTGAGTCATCCTGGTCACGCCTCTAGCAATTTTTTTCTTGAAATCCTGAAAATGATTCACACACATATGCATATTTAATTTTCTTAGATGATCTATAAACTTGGATGGTATTTATTCTAAATGGGGAAAAAATACCCAAAATTTTATATGGGAAAAATCTATGTAATTTATAATGGTTTGTTTTATATATTTATATTTTCATATCTTTAGGGCACATCTGTTGTTTTCATCTTTTTGTACATCGCAGTTGGCAAAAAGAAATACTAATACTTGACTAAAATCTCTAGGAACCAAATGTGTCATATGTGATACATAATGTATATAAGTTGCTGTGGAAATACCTGAATGTTCTCACCCATGCCAAGCATTGTTGTGTCATGTCCTTACCACCAGAATGCCTGGGGTGCTCACGAACACTACTTTTTCACAAGGAAGATTGAAAGGCCTGACATCCCACACAATGGGTTTCAGGATCCCTTCCCCTTCTTTTCTTGTTTCTTCTTTAACTAGACACGTCCTTCTGAAGGGCAAATGGGAGATGATGAGAAAGCAACGTGAACGAATCTAGTTGTGGCTGTGTAATCACATTGACAGACTGAGGACGTGCTTTCTATCCCATGCTTGGGTTGTCATCCACTGGCGAAGTGGCGTCTCCTCAGCTCTATCGCACACAAAGTATAGGGCATGAAGAATGAATGTTTGCATGTTTTGACAGGCACAGTGGACATTTAGTGCAGCCACTATTGGTGACTATGGGGACACCAGTCTGGCACTGAAAGAAATGTTTTAGAAAAATGAACCAGTTACATTTTCTTACATGGTTTGAAGTAGTATGTTTATTCCTGTGTTAAAACTTTTAAATAGCAGTTCCTTTGGTTACCTTAATTAGGGATTTCCTTTCAGTGTTTTTATTTGGTAAGAAATGAGGCATCGAAGTCTATTTCAAACCCTATTTCCTCAGCACATTCAACTGCTATCTTCCACGTATCTTCACACATCCTCTCTGCAACCCCCTAAATAACTCCCTGTTTTTATTGTGTCTTCTCAAACACTTGCTGGTAGTCTTTACATATCAACCAAACTCCATTATATATCCACACATTTTGAAATCTGTTAACTTTAAGCTATTGATTTTACATTTCACCGAGAAAGACTTCAAACCAGTAACAAAGTTGATTTTCTTAATGAAATTTTTATGATTTCTTCAGAGATTAACAGGCTTGAATGAAACAAATCATTTGTGGGTATAAAATAATCAAATAGAACAGATTATTTATTATATTTTCCAAAAGACTAAGTGTTTGACTATTATACAGTAAAATCTCATGTAAGAAAGATGCTCCTTAAATTACTTTTTTTCCTTAGAAATGTTAATGTAAATGGGGTAACACTGAGAAAACTGCAATCATTAAAGATAGCTAGAATAAAGCTAGAAAGTAAGTCATTCTAAGAACATTATGGAAAAATTAATTTTATTATTTAACCAATTACAAAAGCCTCAAAATGTGTCTAATACTACAGAACCATGAAGAGTGAGTTAGTTTCAGAGACTACGTTCCCATATATTTGGTTTGCTGTGCTTCACTAGTTCTGAACATTCTTTGTTAAACAGGAAATGAGATGGAAAAAGTATCAGGAAGAAATAAGAAATAATTTAAATATATAAACAAATGACTAGGATATAAGTTGATATCACTGTAGTAAGAAGAAAACATGATGTGTGATTCATTCTGTATTCTGATTGTTGCTTTAATAAAGGGTTTACACAGATGTGTGGAGTGTGTGTCATATCCCCTCTGAAGAGCACTTAGTTGTGATCTGATTCATAGTGAATCCTTCTAAGTGATATTAATTCTGTGCCCAACTCATATCCCCACTTTAATTTTGCACCTGCACATTTCTTGGAAAAATGGAAAATGAATTAATTTTTATCCTACTTCAAACCCTTTAGCTCTACCCTACAAACTTTAAAGAGAAGTTTATCCCCATCACAAAAGTTTTAGCCATAACATCAAGCAGAGACTTTTTCTGGGATTAATTTTTGACCAGGAAATACACATCTCAAACATCGCAGAGGAAGAATGCATCTGCACTGGAAATTCTTTCAGTCACTTGGACAACACCAGACCCAGGCTGAATCCAAAGGCTCGCTCGCTGCGTAGGTTGTTCATGATCATTGAGATGGCCAGCAGGGGTGGGGAGTGGCTAAAAAAGGAGACTAAAAATTAAGTGGAAAAGAACTAAAAGGATTCTGCTATGGGTGGACCAACTACTACTGCAGATAGACAGGACAAAAAAGATGAATGTGTTTCCCAAGACATCATGAATATAATGTCCATATGTACTTTTGCTTAAACAACAAAAACGCTTAAGAGATTTGTGTTGGCTTTTAATAAGTGTATTGTCAGCTTCATCATGATAGGAGAGAAATGAAGATGTTTGCCCTGATGTATTTGAGCTGAGTTGTATCATAAGGACCCAAAACACTACCAAAAATATTTTTACAGGTTCTGAAGTGCTATGTTCTTAGGTGTATGGGTCAAGTTCAATGTTTGCAAGTGACTTTCAAAGGAAGCGTATTGTTGTAGAGTTGGAAAGCCACTGGAAGGTTATCTGATGTAGTCAGTGACAAGTCGTTAGTCTCTGCTTGGAATTACAGGAGAGAACACTTTACCCCAGGGAGTAAAGTATTCTGCTGTTTTAGGTGCTGAGTTAAAAATCTTAATGTCTGTCTTAAGTGGTTCTTTGAATAGGAAGAATGACTTGGTTCTTCCACAATAAAAATGTCTTCTAAACTATCAACACAACCCAGATTTTTTGTTTCGTTGGCTGGTTGATTGGTTGGTTTGGTTTTCATGACAGGATTTTTCGGTGTAGTATTGACTGTCCTAGACTTGCTTTTTAGACTAGGCTGGCCTCAGACTCACAGAGATCCACGTGCCTCTGCCTCCCCGAGTGCTAGGATTACAGTCTAGTGCCACCACGCTCAGCCTCAACACAACACAAATTTAATGCACATGACACCGGATTATAAACAAAAGACTGGACACTTCTGACCAGTATTCCATTAGCTGTTCCATGTGGAGAATATGACCGAGAGAATGGCTTCTGTTAAAAGGACATTATTGGTGCTTCTGATGATGCAGGCTAACCAGAAAGAAGAGGTTTAGTTAGCTCACAAATGTGGCTGCTGAAAAGAGCACCGCAGTCCATGCAGAACCTGCCTGGGCTGTTGCCGCTAAGCAGGCATAGCAATGGCAAGATTATAAAAGGAAAGATCATATCTCAGAACAGGAAGAGAAGAAGGCCCTTCCCTTCTGCGTAGACACTCCCCAATGACCCAAGTAATCCCACTGCACTCCCATCTCTTTAAAGTTCCACTACCACCTCACTGAGGAGGAAGCCTCTAACAGGAAATGTTGGGAGACACAGCTACATTCAAACCATAGTGTCAGTGGCAATAAAAACCCATCGAACACAAGAGAGTGCTGGCTCAGGGTGGGAACTTAACCTTCCAGGAAGGTCCAACCAATCACCTGGCTGTGGGACCACCTCTAAGAAAGGGGACTCACTTTAAGTCATGCTAGAGATAGGCAGAGTAATTATCCTTCCCAGGAACCCCCCACACACACCTTCCATCCCACCCGCAGGGAAGCCACCACCAGGTTCAGCTGGACCTACCTGCCTTTCTGGGCCTGAGTCAGAATGGCACAACTTTTTTTTTCCATCTCTTTTGGATGTTGACAAGAACCTAACTACACATTTTGTGATACATTGGCCATCTTTATCTTCCACTAAAGCCCTTACCAACACTTCCATGTGGCTTCTTGTCTGCCATGTCTGATCTTTTTGCTGGCTCAAATGGCTTGGCATGTTTTTTCTCTCTTCCATTATTCTTTTATGGTCAGCTGCTGAAATTCACAGCTTGCCTGACATGACAGGGTTTGTTTTTATGGTTGGTTGGTTTTTTTGATTGTTTGTTTTTCTTCTAATAAAATTGTCCTCAGACTTCTGTTTCAATCTATTCTTAAATTCTGTTTAATAACTGTGTGGAGGCAGATCTACATATTTAGTACTTTAATACATCACTGTTTTCAAGGAATTACTGGAATTGACTTGAAAAAGCATATATTATATGTTATGTCATGATCCTTCTTAAATGGCCAGCACTAATTGCCTTCAATAATGTTAGGTAAAAGTCACCAAAGTTGAGATAATTTTCCTAAGATAGTAATGAATATTAAATACAACTAAATTTAATATGGTATCATGACTTTCTCAAAACAGTAAATCTCACTAAATTTCTCATTATCTACTTCTTGTTTTCTATTTCTTGTTCAATATTTATTGCAAAGGTGAATTATTTTGGTGAGTACTTGCAACTAACTTAACATTGGGTTTCAAGGAAATGAGGCAAAAGGTTAACTGAGGACCTGTTAATATATCAAAGCAGACACTGGCTACCAGGTTCTCCCAGCATCTCCAGTACCTGTTACAGAGTCCTGGCTCCTGTCAGCACTTCTTAGCCCTTGTCTTAAACCTCTCCAGCCCATGAACGCTGCTTCCCTCCACCAAACTTTTTTTTCCCATATGACTCAGCCATTTAGCCAGGTACTCTCTTGGTTCTTGGCTCCTCTCTTCATCCATTTGTCCTCTTTCCTCTTCCCTCTCTCTTCTCTTCCCCTCTCACTAACCCCTCTCTTAACCTCCACACACACACACACATACACTCAATAGCCTGGTCTAGTCTGCTGGTTCAGTCTACACTGTTCTTGATGTTCTCCCTTGTATCTACAATAAAAGCCTCCTCAACCTAGGAGTGGTCATGCCTTCATGGTTTTTCCTATAGTTGACTCAGGTTTTAAAATTCATAGTAGAATAGGAAACCCATCATAGTAGAACAGGAAACCCAGTGAACCACACATGGTCACCTGAGCATAGCCCTTTAGGCACAATTAGGAGCCTTTCTCTTGTTCCTTGGAAATCCTTCACAGCATGTTATGGTGTCAGAAACCAGGAGCTAACACCAAGATGTTGCAAGGTTAAAAAATTATTTATGACCTGGCCAAACTTGCAGTCTTCCTCAGTAGGAGAATGAGGCAGCCCAGATCCAAAGCAGGGAAACCTCTTTATAGCAAGGGAGCAAATGATAACAAAAGAGGAAATGTGCAGTTATTTTTATGATCATGAAAAAGGTACATGCTATGGGCTTATGGTTGGACAGTTGCCTTAACATACCATGAAACAATAGAGACAATTTATGCTCTATAAATAACAAGATTTTAGAGGAGAAGCAACTCAAAAAAAAACATACATACATAAATACACACATACATAAAATAATAAATAAAGCAAATTGACCTTTAGCTGAGGACATGATTAGAGAGAAGAAAAACATGATAACGAACAATATAGAGACTATAGAGATAAATCAAATTTTAATATTATGTTTAACTAGGAAAGGAAAAAAAATGGAGTCAGCTGTCCCTAAACAAGCATGGTATTGGAATTGTTTATGATTCATACAAAGCTCCTCCACTGTGGAGACATTTGAAATGATCAGTCTCTTTATATTTAAGTTTGGTTGGACTGCCTGTTGGTGTTGATAACTTATAGCTTGGACAAGTGAATGAACAAAGTCCTGAAGCTTCAAAAGGCTCCGGAATCCCAACCATCAAAGTTCTTAAATGAAACAGAAAAAGAAAGGCTGTCTGAAGAAGCAAGTCACAGCTTTGCACACTGCCCTCATTAGATGGACTTGTATTGCTACAGATGTTGTCATCTGATGCAAAATTTTGACAGTTTTGAGGCCTCAGATAATGTAATTTTATGTTCTACATTATTTTGTAGGGGGAAGGGGGGATTGTGATGGCTAGATTTTTATAATGTGCAAAGTGTAGCGTTCCCTGTCATCAGCTCATCCCAGTCTATGTCTTCACAATAATTGAGATGCATTAGTGATGTCTCTGAATGCTGCCAGATCCTGGAAAGAATGCAAATGTAAAATTGTGTGTATTTTTGTAAGCTGTTGAGTATTTTACAATACCTTCTCTCATTCCCTATTGAATTTGAAGGAATTAAGTACGTTTTACTTCTACGAATCCTTTGAAATTGTTAATTGCTGTGCTTCAGAGAAACACACAGGCTCTCAAAAGCCAAACTACATTAATCAAACATCCCACACCCAGACATGCTGAATCAATGAGGGATTTACAGTATGACTATAAAAACAGCAGCTGCAGCTAATAGGGAAAGGCATCCTAAGACAACAAAAGAATAACGCTTCCTCACGAAGAAGATACCGTGGAAAACATAGACTGTGAAACTTCCCACATTTCCTCCAAGTCCTTATGGATAGATTTTTATTTTTTACTTCTAGATTAAAAAAAAAAAAAGTTCAGAACTCTCCAAAGTCTAGCAGTCAGGCAGATCATATCAGGCAGATACATGGGGACATGGGGTGCGGGGAGGCAGGGGAAGAGCCTCTAGGTAGATTACCATTTAACATGTCCAGCTTCTCCCTCTCCAAGATAAAGACTCGGTGCCCCTCCTTCTTAGACTTCCAGATCTCCCTTAAGGGAGGCTCCTGTGTCAGGAACCAATCAGCTTTCTTTTCATTGTCTGGGTTGACTAATCCCCACAATAACCCAATCCAACTCTGGAGAGAAGGGAATTCATCCTATATCCAAGCATAAATATTTGAGCTTTGCCAGACAAGCTATGACAGCATCCTCAGGACCTCTTCCCACTCTGGGAATCCATCTCTTTGTTACTAGGGGAGCTGGATGTGGAATCCATCAAAGAACCTAGAGTCATCTGGTTGAGGGCTTGCCTCCATTAGAGCCTGTGGGCAAGCTGTGGGCATCTTTGTTAATGATTGATGTGGGAGGTGCCATGCCTGGGCAGGTGGTTCTCAGCTGTAGACAGAAGCAATTGAGCAAATTGTAAAGTGCCACTGTAGGGAACGATCCTCCATGGTCTCTAAAGTTCCTGCCTCCAGATTCTTGCCTTCCTTAAGTTCCTACCTTGGCTTCCCTCAATGATAGCCTGTGTTTAGGACATGGAAGCCAAATAAACCCTTTCTTCCTCAAGTTGCTTTGGGTCATGTCCTTATCACAGTAGTAGAAGCCAAACCATGACATTCCTGTTAAAGTTATTTTTATAAAATTTGTGTTTGTTTCTCTCTTAACCTGGCTATCACACAAATAATTGAGCCTCTTTTATATTTGTTTAATAATAAGCTTCACAATACAATAACTGAACAACTATTACTCTATTCTTAAACTCTCTAGGCTAATCCGGCTTCACCCGGCATACATCACAGAGATACTCGAACTTTGTAGCTTTCTTAACCCAGTTCTTTCTCTTGATGTTTCTTGGACCTTTACTGGTGGTTCAATTCCTTTATTCCACCTCTAACTCCTCCCCTGCCTGGAAGGAAGTTCTATTCTCTCCCTACTTGGTGATTGGCTGTGAGCTGCTTTATTGGCATATCAGGGGACAATTGGGGAACAGTACTTATACAACATTGAGGCAGGAGAGTCTCAGAATAAGTATTGCAACCAGATAGGAGGTGGGTACAGAAATCAGCATTTCAATTACACAATAACCTTATGCGTACACACTCTGTCCACGAAAGGCACAGAAGAGAGTCCAGGGTGCCATTAAAGCAAGTCCCGAGAGACAGATGACACAGATCTCACTCTGAATCCCCAGGTCATCACCTGTAATCACAGACTGAGAAGCCACTGATAGTCACTTAAATATCTTTCTATAAATAAGAGATCTGT